AATTGTTCGAGCTCGCTTGTTTTAAGCATTCTAATAAATATGACATTTTATCACTGTACCTTTACTAGGCATACGTCTACGACGCTCCTTTTTGTTGTGATATATCTTACGCAAACTATTTCTGAAATACGAATAATGTGAGATTCAGTTGTTTTAATCACTTAAACACAACTAACTACGAACTCATTTCAGTTTCCAATAGCAGTTATAAAAACTAATTAAACTCATAGTACTTACAAATCTATGTAGGCCTACTTACTACCAATATTGTATACGCATAGTCACTAAAGCTAACAAAGGTTTAAAAGAATGAAAACAACGTGATCGTGACGATGAAGGCATTAAGAAAGGACTTTATGCTGCTATTTGCTAATTAGCAAGTGTTGTTTGTTTTACAATAAACGTTTCATGAAAGGTCTAATGGCGGTTTATGTGTTAACTTAGGAGTGGTCAGTCGTCGCCATTGTAATATAGTTGTGGTTTAATAGGGTAATGACTCGGCAAATGAGCGGTTGCGCTATTTGAAGTGATAACGGACTATTTCTTGTTTAACCCAAGGGGTCTAAGCGTGTGGGAATGTTATTTGCACTGCATAATTTATTGTTCACAGCAAGCTTGTGAAATGATTTCTCTATTCGTGAAGTGAAGCAGATTTATAGACCGCAATGAAATTTTACCTTAAACTAAAGTTATAAAAAATTTAGGGGTGCCAAACAATAACGTTATAAGATCCAGAAAATTAGAAGGACCCAGAAGAGATAAGATATTTTCAGGCATTTATAACGTTATGATTTGATTATCAGGTGGTATCTTATTAAAAGTATCTTACTGTTTTAATTTAATTGTCAGAATCATACAGTAATGTAAGTACATGGGTACGTGTGAATTGTTTGATTGGGCCTTTATGTGTTTGTGATAACCACTTAGGTAGTTACGTTGTTGACAATCGCTTCGCCCGTAACTGAATCATCGCAGCTTAATCGCCGTCGTGGAGCCTGCAAACCACACAATACCTGGCCACCCGACCGCGCAATGGCCGCAATCACCGTACATCTGTAGTCTGTGCCTGTGTTAGCTTGACTGGTTTCCATGCAGTGTTGTGGCGATCATTGATAGTCGATTACGACGTTTGAATATTGATATATTGTGTAAGCCTTCTGAGATGATAGATTTGAGCGGATGCGTTTACCTACACAAATTGTGGGTAATTTTTATCGGATTAAGTTACACACTACATTTTATCAAATGCAGTAAATAGACGTTAGCTATAAAGAGTCTTTGCATCATTAGATTTTTATGCTAATACCTAATTCTCATTGAATGCGTACATTTTACCCTAATCAAATCTCACTAAACTAGATGCGCACCGTCGCTAATGTACTTCAAGAATACTTAGGCTGGGTTGCACCATCTTACTTTAACTCTGACAAACGTCAAAAATCTGTCAAACTCCATACAAAAAACACCGGTTATCGTCATAGTTACCGTTAAAGTTAGGTGGTGCAACTCAGCCTTAATGTTACGTTCGAGTGTAACTGTAACTGACTTTGGTAAAATTTAGACATCGGCTAAAACCCGTAGAAAGCTTTGGTAGAGATTCCTAGTACCAAAAACCAAAAGTTAAAGCTTAATACAACCAAACCCATGGGGACGAATATCAAAATTCGAAAATCTGCACTTTTACACAGATGAGAACGGAAAAGGGATTATTATTCGAGACTCCCATAATGGTCCCACTGGGAAAAGCGGTATATTGGCCGTTAAAATGATCTCTTGCTGCTATACAGGATTATGATTTGTTGTTTTTTTATTTTTACGCAGACAATTGACACCGTTTTTAAAGCAATGGGGTCTAAATTAAGCAGAGGTAAACCAATAATGTGTTATTCTAATAGTTATACTCGAAGATATTTATGTAACTTCAATTTGTGCTATTAAGATAGATTTGAGCAGTATTTTTGTATAATGTACGTACAGGTATTTTTAAACATTGTTCTTGTAAATTTATTTTCTTTCGTCCAATTGTAGAAAAAGATACTTTATTGGCACAAAGAAAGAAAATAATTTGAACTTCACTTGAATAGTTTTGTTTTTCTGTAAAATTAGAATCACTTAGGTATTACTAGTCACAGAAGTGGGAGAAAGAGCATACCAAATTAATAGCTAATTATTATATCCCCCATCTACGAGCATTTGCAACGTATAAACCGTAGCCTCATCAGTGGCACTGCTAATATCCGCCGTGGACCGGGGCTTTTTAATCAACAGCTCTTTTACAGTTCCCGAGCCGTGATGTTAATAAGCGGTATTCGTCAGCCGTTTCAGAATGGAACTAGGGGTATTAATTACAAGATGTCTCCGTCAAGACCCGATATTCATCACGTCTCGGCCCGCGTGACTAGGGATGTGACGATTTAATCGATTTATCGTCGATAGAGTTCCGTTAAATCTTTTGTAATTGCTGATTCGATATTTTTTTAAATTCTGGTTCACACCTGAGTTTATCTAAAATTTACTTAGGTACATTGCGTGTGATTAAACAGAATTGCTATAGTATGAATCCAATTGTGTGTCTTCTCACTTTATTACATCGGAATTATTAACTTTTAGCAAGGTGAGAAACAAGATTTGAATCAAATGCAAAAATTCGTGGGTGTACATCTCTACGCGAACTGCGAGGCTCTCGAGGGATGTTTACATCCGCCACACTTGTGCAGCTCCGACACAGTTTAGGCGTACTCAGATCACGAACATTAGTTTACGAATAATTGATTGCACTATAACTTACTTGTCATCTTCTTGAGTAATAGTGGTAATGGGTTGGAGGCAAACATGAACTTTGAATAAGCTTTACTTGAAACTGAAAGCTTGTCTTATACTAATACTTGCTTGCAAATATTCTGCATATTGTAGCAGTGACGACATTTTTTCTGTGAACATAAGTTACTTAAAAAAAAAGAATTACTGAACAAAAATGCACTTCATGAAATACCTTACCACACACCACAGAATTACTGGCACCCAACACTTACCTACGTACGAGTAGGTACCTAAGAAAATAATTTGCAAAATATAATATCTCAAAAAAGACTGAAGCTTGAAGATGACGTTACGTTAAAATAAAAATAAATTGCTTATTCTTATAGGTGAAGTCCAAATAACCCTTGTAAATGCCATTATCATTAGCAGTTAAATGATATTGTGTCGATTCAGTGAGCACTTTACAGGGTACACTGTAAATGCCGTACCGTCGCTGTTCAAATACAGGCCCAGTAGATTGTGTCATAAACAGAAAGGCCTTAATCCAGGCAAGCTTTAAACCTTGCGTGCCACACCGTTCAAACAAATTAGCAAGACACGGGGTTCCAGGGAGCTGTTCTGTTTGTACGTACTGCTCATATCTTGTTTTGAGAGAATTAGTAGCAACCAAAAGCAATGAAAACCCTATAATTTACCGTTCATTTCATACCGATACAGAATGCATTAAATTATTGCCGCAATGCAAACAGTCCTTATCTGTTTTCATGTTGTTTCAATAGTATACATTAACAAAAAGCTGCTGTTTAACAAACAAACGACCATTTTATACCTATATTAATTGAGCTTTAAATAGGTATTAAAAATAATCGCTATACTTTTTGAACTCTGTAAGTGATCAATCATCATTAAATCATCGCATATTTGACCCATCTTATCAACTTGTCCTAACTCTATGTAACTTTTAAGAAAGTTTGGAAAAACGCAACCTTGGATATTCTTAAAATACTTATTATGAATCGACGCGACTGAGAACGTATGAGTCTGCCGTTGCGGTCGCTTGATACTAATCACTTGATAATTAATCACTGCTCCAGTACGCGGCGTGATTTCCTGCAGGAGTGAAAAATGCTGAATAACGATAAAAGTGAGAAGGGTCGAGCGACACGCCAGCTGTCGCCGCGGCGCTCAGCGCTATTTCTGTAATGTCGGGAGATCTCGCAAATCAAAACGTTCCCTTATAACGTCCTAGATCTGTGCGTAACCTCCTTCGTGGCTAGTTTACGGACAGATTTGCGCAAAGCCCGAAGAGTTGCTTAACAATTTGACTGGATCAATATTCGTATTTTGACGCATTCATATAGAAGAACAAGGCACTTTTTAACTATGGAAGGCTATTATAAACATTATATCAATCGTCGAGCTTAACGGAGTAACCAATAAATTTTAGCACTTGCTGCGTATCGCTCTTTTTCGAAGATTATTTCCAATAATAACAGGGGTACTATTTCGTTGGTTCGTTTCAGCTTAGTGCCGTCCACTGCTAGACAAAAGCCTTCCCAAGGATTTCCACAAAAGCTGGTCCTGTGCTACCCATATCCAGGTGTTGCCCGCGACCTTCACCAGATCTTCGGTCTACCGAGTGGAAGACCTTCCTTTCCGGTTCGTGGTCACCTCTCGAGAACTTTTCTGCCCCAACAGACAACAGTTCTACGACAAGCTATGTTGTCTGCAAACTGGCACTTAAGCGGCATTAGCGGGCTATATCAGTTAATTTAGTTTTCTTACGGATGGTTCTATTTAAGCATTATTTACCACATACATAAGTACTAAAAACTCTCCGAATTGCATGTCCTTCTGTGACAAACCATATTATAGTTATTTATATTTTTTAACCTCAATAGAGAAGCTCATAGCCTGCATCACACCTGAAGGATAGTGCGGATCAGGCTGAAGGTGGAAGCGAGGTTCACTCGGAATCTTTAACCGCAGGAACTGGCTATCTTACCTCCAGCCGCTTACTTCGGCTTTGCGGGTGACTGTCCTGATAGGAAATTTTCGCTACTCAAATGAAATTGGTAGGTAGGGCAAGACGTTAATACATTGTATTTTTAGGTAAAACAGTACGTTACCGATAGATAACTACGAGGTATTCAATAAGTATTTCTTGATAGGGTTCTAGTACATTAAGAAAACACTGTCTTTTACATTGAATATTAAAAGCAGTCCTTTACTCATTACAGGAGACATACCGGAGGTGGGCGTGCAGCACAATGGTGCCACTGTGGGTGGAGGAGGGCGCGGAGGAAGGCAGCGAGGAGAGCGGCAGGTCGCGGCGCACGCCGGCCGAGCACGCGGCGCGGTGGCGCGCGCGGCACCTTGAGCGCGTCGGCCACCTCGACCGGCGGCGATCCGGCGGCGTGGTGGGCCGGTGGGTGCGCGCCGCCGCCGCCGGACCCGGCCGGCCCGTCGCAAGGCTCAAGCCCTGCCTCTCAGTCTGCCAGCTTGTTGAGCAACACTGCCCTTACTTCTTGCCGGCGGATCGGGCGCCAGCCTACCCCACGCAGTATGCCGGTGAACCCACATTCCTATGCCTCGGTGAGTTTTTTGATATCTAAGACCTCTTGAATGGAGTAGCTACCTTGGAAAAAGTTGAATAATCTCAAATACTTGAGCTTAATAAGACCGTGCCGGTTGAGACTAACCTGACTAACTCTACCGTATATCTAAGTGACAAGCCGTTGGACTCCATCAAGAGTTTTAAAAAAGGTACAGACACTGGCTCCAATGTGTCGATAAGTTTCTTCAGATGAATTTCGAAATACCCATGATTAAAATTAGTTATAAATCTTTTCACACTAGGAAAATGAACGAAAATCTGTATACAAAAGAGTACCGGAAGCTTTGATTCTACATTCAATTTGGACGTTGCTACCTAGCTACTCCCAGTTAAGTAAGTAGTTTGAAGAGCACGATACGATGGCAGCCGGCGTGTCCTATGGTTGCTTGCCTTGCTTTACCTCATGCCACGGTGTATGCAGGCGAGTTTATACTTGTATGCCTTGGAAAATACTATAAATAGTTATTTAATTCGTATTATCTCATATGCAGATCCATATAAGAAAATATTACCAACCGGTCAAACTAACCATTATTTTGATAAGAAATGTTAGTTTCACGTAAAGCATACTTTACTATGTAATAAATTTTGAAAAGTACGATGGGCATGAGTAATCATTTAATTACCGTGAAACGTCGTTTTCCCCGTCATGAAACGGCAGATAAATATCATTCCAGAGTAATCTAAATTAAAATCATTTGGCACTGGAGTGTCATTAAAGTAGATTTAGATTATCTTCGTAATTCGGCGGTAAAATAGTGGCGTGGAATTTGCGGCAGTTGTTCGCCCGAGGCACGCTGCGCAGGCCGGCATGAATTAGCCGCGATTAGGCCGCCATCGCTTGGCTGCGGTTCAAAACGAGAAAGCACAAAACAAATAGTGCCTTCTGCTAGCTCCAGGGCGTTTTCTTTTTCCTCTAGCACCACTTTACTTTGACCAATTGTTGCTTCACGCCTTTTTGATTTAGCGCTATCTTAACCGTTCGTTCAGACCGCGCTGGCACATGCTCAAAACGATTATAACGCGATTTCTAGCCTTTTAATACCATTTTCTACCCAGTTCCAATTTCTCATTCCTTGTGAAATGGCCAGGAAGATAACTTAGTTTTATGTGAACTGTAAAATTTTCTTCCTATTTCTTGGCTTTCCAATTCTAAACTTGAACTGACTTTTCTATTTCACCTTTAAAGTTAAGAATTTTTAATTTTTTTTCAATGTTGCATTCCTGTAATATTATGTATTAGTGTTAAAATTTATCATCATGTTGCATTCCAGACCCGCGCATACCGGAGACGGGAGCACAGGCCAACAATTCCAACTACGGGTCGGACGACTGCTGCTACTGGTACTGCGAGGGGCGGCTGTGCTACCGCTGCGACAGCCGGCTGAGCGAGGCGCCGCGGCCCGAGCCCGAGTGGTGCCCGCCGGTCGAGGAGCGCGTGCCCACCTGCTCCGTGCCTTACCAGGCGCCCGCCGCCGCCGCCCGCCGCCTGCCGGACCTCGCCCTCCTCGCGGCGGCACTCCTCGTCGGGCTCCTCGCCCTCCCACGGACTCACTGGACAGTGTCCACGCCTCTAGTGAATGTGCGCGATTCGAGGTTATAGTTTTACGTTAACGTGCGTCGCACCGCCACGTCCCGCGATCGTCGGACTGCGATCGGAACTTCTATTAGTGCTGTACTTATGATAATAAATTACACGCGGTTACGAGTTCGATGATGGCCGCGACTCGCGGCGCGGCCCGACGACCGCGCCGCGAGCCGCGCGCATAGACTGTAAGTGGTTTGTGTCGATACACTCTACAAAATAGAAACACCAAGAGTCCTGATGAAAATGACTTTAGCATTTTATCTCGTAAGCGCTGTTAGCCGCCGATGTTCCGGCCAGTATGTTAATGTTTTCGGCACGAATTGTAAACGAAAATTCACATGATAAGTATTTTTCGTCAAGCGTAAATATTATTTTTAATAGTGTTTACGGTTAGCAAATTTCATAGGTGTTCACGATGAACTTGTTTACGAAACTAGTTTCATAGAAGCAATATCTTACCGAAAATAAGATTCGTAATTCTGAGACGAAAGTTAAGTATAAACGTAAATTGTGTCAGGGATCGTGTGAATTTTTTATACGTGCAAGTAATTTATACAAATGACAATTCCAGTTATTAAACATTATTATGGTTGATATGTGCCAGACAGCATTCTTCATGTCCGATAAAGTTGAAAGTGAAATCCTGATTTACTGTTTTTTTATTATTACTAATTGAAGTCGTTTTGTAGATAATTATTTTTGTAACTTCAATATACGAGGTGAATGAAAGATAGGCGCAGGGCGAGAATGGCACAAGAACAGTATTATATTCTGTAGGCTATTAAAAATCCACATTCAGTTGACCTGAATGAAAATGTAACAATTTAATACCGAAAATCTTCCTAAATAATTGTGAGCGGGTTTACTTACAGTTTTTGGGAAAACTTCGAGAAAATCTTAAGATAGAGCCTTAATGAGCTTATGACACAATGCCAGTAATCAATGGAAAGGCTGAAAATAATGCTTAATTTATTTACAGTGTTTCCATTGCTGAAATATTGTTAGCTACGTATGAGTAGTACCGTGACCGACGCAGGTCTGTAAAGCAGCTGGTTCTGGCAATTCTCGTCGCTGGTCGTCTTCGAATGCCTAAATAGTTGGTCTACACATATTATTGACTAAAATAACATAGGGTTAATTAAACGTAGTTGTTGTTTTGTAAGAAATAAAGTATGACTAATGCATATAATGAAAATTATATGTAAATATCCGTCTTATGAACTTCAACATTATTCAGATGTAACATGGTTGAAAATGATTTTTATATGAATTGATTTTTAATATATATTATTGTATATGTATATCGTGTCGAGTATATGATAATGATGACGCAAACTTCAACGGGGGTAAAGTCGTTCACATGTATGTATAAGGGACGGTATTTGTTGGTTTGTCTTATTTTTGAAAAAATATTAAATTATAGAGGTATCGTTGAACATTTTGTGATCAAAATCATGTATAATTAATGGTTATTAAGACTTTATTGAATGGACATTTGTTATGAATATTGTCCTCAGGCGGGGATGTAGTTGTTGTATTCAAATGATAAATGATAATAATATTAAGTAAGTTATTTTTTACGTTTTTATCGTGTACATATGTCAAGACGGTTTGTTGTTTCCACTCCCATACTTAAAGTCACCGAAGGTGCTAATGGTCTATTACTGCTTCTTAGGAGTTTCGTTTGTTACTAACTTCAGCCTGGTTTCGTCTGCGCGACGGGTGACGTCACCATATCACTTTATAAACCGCATTGCATTCACAGAATACAAACATCTATTTTCTTAGTATTTTCAAAGGAAAGTTCCACTTCAGCGACTATAGACTAGATATACATAGACAGACAGGTGTTGATCAGTGCCGTGACAAAAGAGGGTCGTTATTGTTTCAATCGAATATCTAATTCGCTCGTGATCCCCAGTGCCTTCACTCTCCCGAAGTGAAAGCACCGCACAGCAGGACACTCGCAACTCTCGGGTTATTACTTACATCCATCCGACTAAACAATGAATATTAATTACTTATGCATAATACTCAAAACTTGTTTGGCAAATCGAAAAAGTAAAACGTTACAAATCATAGAGATAGAGTCTCTTCAAGGGAATTTATAGTAGATATTAGGATCCAAATTAATATACACTAACTACATTTAAATCGTTCGTTTACAAAATGCCCATATAAAATTAAAAAGTCTCATCCAACTCGTCATTTGCATCGGTTTTGTGGTCTAGTTCTTTTGATCTATCGTAAGCATCTAAATTATAGTACGTAAGTGGAGTGTCAAGCAAAAATCACTTCAGAGAGTCGAATAACACGAAAACATTAAATAGGTCAATGCAAAGCAGAGTAGTGTTAATAAATATTTCATAGCCCGCGCTGCAGGGCCTTCTTCACGGTATCTACGTGTATCTATGTATAAATTAATTAATTATCAAGGTGTCTAAAATTTAGTAATAGAGAATGAATTACTAGAACATAATTAATTGGAACAATTTCGAGCACTCGTTAAAACTTACACATTGGCCGTGCATTCCTTCTTTGTGGGTGTTTCTACTCTACATTCTTGATATCTTCACTTGTTCACTATCTATTCTAGAGTAGATGTTAAAAGACCAAACGAGAGGAGTTCGGTTCGAATGTTGTTTACATTAACATTTTCGTTTAGGTGACCGTTTGCTCGTAAATGCATGCATACGACAGAATTTCATCGTAATTATAAGTCGAAGCTTGAGTTTTATCTACGTAACTAATGTAAGTACTCCAAGAGAGATTCGAAGCTATTAAATAAATAGGTGTAAATGAATAAAAAAAAGTCGAGTCGATTTTCACCATGATCACTAAACTGCCGTTTGTTTGTGAGATTGATTTCGTAGGGACACAAAATTAGCAATAATTCGTAGTAAATAACTGATTAATCACGTAGATTTCACATTGACCCACGAGGCGTCCACGAGCCGACTGCGACGCGACGCGGCGGCGCGGCGTGCGCTCGCACGTGCCATACTCCTAGGTATACTTACGTACGGATGTATTTTAATGTTATGTTGAAAGTTTGGTGATAGTGTGTATTATGTTTTTAATTAAATTTAATGAATTACGTTTTGGTGTACATAAATAAAGTGTAAATGTTTAACGCACAAATAATGAAAGACGATGCTGAATTGTAAAGCAGTGTACGAAAACTTATGTATTACTTAGCTGTAAACTGTAACTGAGAAGTAATCTATTAGGAATACGAAATTAGAAACTTCAGTGCTCCGTCTGCTGCCAAGATTAATTTTGTTGTCTGTCATATTATACGAATTCGGTTTTATTTGTGAACGGTTTTAGTTTTGTGGCGGCACGTTCTCACGAAGTCCATTTCATTGTAAATTATTCAATAATGAGGGAATTAACTAGCTATACTGTTTGGTAAGTTAAGCGGTTCACGTTAGGTTACGCAGCAACCGGACTGTCACGCACGCACAAACAGAGTTCGCTTTCGGGGTCGTCTGACAACGTGTCAGTTAATAATTCGAATCGTTGTAGATACAGTAATGTCCTAATCAATATAGAATATAATATGTAAGGAAAACACCAAATGATAGCCTTTTACATAACGACAAAAGTATATAATTAATTATCGAAACCGAAGCATGTCCGCAATCATGTTGATGTTGATAGTTTGTACAATACATATATTAATTATTTTATACGTATACGGCCTTACTATTGTGTAAATACGCGGCTGTTAAACGACTGACTTCTGTTCTTTTTTCTATACAATGACAGAGCGTTATGGAAGTTGATGTGTACTGGGATTTATTAATGTTGCTTTAACGGCAAAAGTACAATGTAATATAGAACATATGGCTGTGGTCAGTCCTTGAGAAGACAGCTCCCTGTTCTTATGACAACGAACAAGATGTTAATACATTTTTTATATATGCTGGTTTGATGGAAATTAAGTTGGCACTTGAAATACATTCTGGAATGAAACAATGTGACCAAATGCAATGGGACTTCAAGTGAATGAGTGGGCTGCATTATCCTTTCATGTTACTCGTGTATTTGTTACTTCGATTCTTTGCAATTATTTTGCTAAGTGTACACTAGGTATAAAATAACTCAGACTCACTCGACTAAATTTTAAACACACATTCAAGCTTTTGTTGGATTGAATTTCAATATTTAGGTCAATCTTAAGATAGAATCTAAGCTTCGTTTCGTAATATGGATCTCAATAGTTTGAACTTGTATTTTTGATTTGGTCTATTTTATGCTATGTAGCATATAATATATCATTTCCAAATTAATATTTGAGAGTGTAAATTCAGATTAGTAATACTTTTTGATGCAAAATTGCAAAGTAACCTTTATTGCTGTGTAACTTTAAATTGTGATAAAGCTTTTCTGGAGGAGAAAGAACAATTACATTACAGCTTTGTTGGAACGTTTTGTGAAGAATTACAATGGGTTCTATCTTTTTCTGAAAGGAGCTATTAAGCAAGGCTTTTATCCTTTTATCATGTAATATTTCTTTTATGTCTGGGGTATGTCTTTAAGACATAACTGCTCAAGGCTTATAGCGTCCGAATATTAAAACGATGTTCAGATTTAGGGCTCTATCATCGGCTGTCACTGTCACATGGCGCCTATTTGACCCTATTAGAATATTGTAATCTAGGAAGAGAGAAAAGACACAATTGTGACTACAAATACTATCACAGTTTAATTAGATACTTCACTGTGCCTAGGGTCACGTCGCTGATGTTGTGACAGTGACAGACGATAAGAGACTTAACTTTGACTGTCATCTTAGTGTTCAGTCGAAACCCTTTATACTTGAGTGTGCACTTAGTATGTGACGATGTCTGAGTGAGATAAGTACTTAAATACAATAGAAACACATGGCCTTCTATTTTTCAATATTTAGATGAAGGTGGTTAGTAACATAAGATACAATTGATATGTATTAAAAGTCTTATGAAGAATCAAATATTAAATTAATAGGTATACTAATTCGTACGTTATTTTAACCGGCACATAAGTAAGCGAGTTAAGGTCCATGTTCTTCAGCCCCGAAAGTTTCTCTTTTAATGTCTCTTTGTTTTTCGTATTTGTCATTTTAATACGCGTTTCGTATACTTTGTAATTGATAGATGTTTCGTTTGGTATTGTAGTTACTTTTCGTTAATAGTTAGAGAATTCCTTTATTTAACTAGGCTTCCCGCATCAAAATAACAAAGTTCTTTGGTAAACACACTCGCTTGATTACCTGTGAACGCAATAATAAATAATAGGCTGTGTCGATGTTTTATTCCGAAACTTAAGTATAAAAATGTTAGCTTAGCTAAATAACGGAAAATCTCAAACTATGCATAAAAATCATTCGTTTGCATGGCTGTTCATAAATTAGTATAAATATAATGTATGTAATTAGTGTCGTTTCCATTTAAATATAAATGTTTTGTGTTATTTTGATAGTATTATGTTGGACCTAGAAAAACCGTAGCCAAACATGTTTTATTCATTTCTTTAATTTCACACATACTTTCATGAAGTCCAGTGTGAGTGGCGTTGTTGACGATTTTATTTTTAATAGAACGATGTTCCTCCAACATCACATTAATACCATTATTCCTAATGAGTTCTAGATCATATAAATATATGATTAAGAGGACTTTAAAGGCATTCTACTTGAAGTCTTTAATTTGAATATCATTTCAATCGAATACATTGCACTAATCAGGACATTAATATTAAAATATTGTCAAACGTCCAGAGGACCGCTTGGACATAATTAATAATCGCTATAAATAATATCATTAAAGTTGCCTATTTCATAGTGAGAGAGGTAGCGTAGGGTAAATCTTATCTCATAAAAAATTACAAGGGTAAGCACAAGTCGGCGACGCGGGTTGCGGCGCCGGCGGACACTGCCACAGCACGCGGGGCTCCGATATATTGATATGATCTAGGATGTGTCGTAGGTGTTTCTCGAGTAGTGATCGTGTAATAAGTCTTATGTTACGCCTTCTAAATGATTATAAATCTGTTAGTGTGCCGCGCGGGGCCGCGGGCCGGCGGTTGACAAACCGGGCCGCGCCTGCGCTGCTATGCCGTAGCCGCTACGGCGCGGCAGGGCGGGCGCGTGTCCCTCGTAGCCGCGCCCGCGCTCCGCCGCATGTAGCATCGAGATTAATCACGTTCGAATAATCGTAGACAGATTTTGAAATTTAATATTATTTGCATTTTCCTAAGAGTTAGAACGATTGAGACAGTAGGTCGCACGACCGTGTTATGATGAATTGTGGAGATGTTTATTAAAAAAATACGTTTATGAAAATGGAATAAAAACGAAAAATATTGTCATATAAACTTGTAATTACTAACTTAAGAAGAATTATTGGAGAACCAGAAAAACGTTAAATAAACCGATTAAAATACAAGTGTTTCGTTTTATTATTAACCCAGCCCAGTAAATAATGAAGAAAATAAATAAAAAAACATGTTCCGTTTGTTTAAATATTTTAATACAAAAATGTTCGCTTACGTCAATATCACACTCGATCTTACATCATCTATTTATATTAAGTATAAAAACTATGACTTCGCATTAAATTATCGTTCTCGCGTATAAAAAGGACTCATTCGTCATCACAGCACAGCGTTCGCTATACACAATATACCGAACGCGGACAGGCACACAACACACGATCACAGTCGGTGACACAGAGGGCTGGAGCCCGGGGGCCGCACGAGTAGCGCTGGGACATAACATAGAATCCGTGAACCGTCCATGTGACGTCAGCCCAGCGCTAGCTCGCAACCGAGACACTGAACGCGCATCCCGCGCGGACATCGCTGCACGCGTCGGGCGTCGCTAGGCGCGCGCCGATATCCTCGCGACAAACGCCGTTACCAGCGCGAGCGCAAACGACATCTGAACACTATTCGCGCTGTTATTACCGCTTCTACCGCCAGAACTTTCTTCTGTATCTGCGAAAATTGTATTCACAAATGTTAACACAAAATGTTTTCATTCATTACGTGTAAGTGCACAGTGCGTATTGTGATTCACAAACAGTATTTAACAATTCAGGTGATTAGAACATAATTTTGAAAACAAAACAAATGACAAATGTGATGAATGTTCACCAAGCGTGAATCGAAAACAAAAATCGTCCGAAAATTCCGTTTGGTTATGAAAATGTTAATAGGAATTTTCGGATAAACAAATGAAATTAAAATAAACCTACAGATGCGGGTGAGTGATGTCGCGGCGGAGGATGTAGTGACCTCCTAATAAGTAGCGGCCGGAGCCACGTCTCAAGGACAATTACAGTCTAGCCCCGCCTGACTGAACGCTGACCACTGAAACATTCACTGGGTTTAGGATGGATCCTTTAGTCAACCACAACCAGGTCCCCCTGTGCAAACTACACTATAGTACTTCAAATGTACATTATTAATCTACGCACACATATTTACATGCATTTTGTCGTCAGTCAGTCATTCTATAGTTAATTCATACTTTCAAAAAGTTTTTAAGGTAAAGAGTTAATTCATTAACCTTTTACACATTATTTTCCAAACTTAAATAAAATAAATTAAAATTGTCTTACACCACTATGTTAGTTACAATACTAATGCATCTCAACGTTTAATTTTCTACATGCTTATTATTTAAGTCATATGATTCCATTCCATTAATGGTCAGTATTTTGTGTCCATAAAACAAAACATGGGAGTGCTCAAGTTAATTCATTTGAAAACTCTTTTCATCTCTTACATGGAGGACGCCCGTCGAGTGTCGTTAAACATTCAACACGAAAACCTTTATCTTATGCTTCAGTACATCTAGAAACCGAGCAGTCGGAATATATTATTAGAGTCTTTAAACCAAAATAATTATTTACTACTACTTCTACACTATGCAAACACACACTACCCCTCAAACCCGTAACCGCAACCGTAAAAATAATGACAGTATAGTTATTTAAGTATTGAATAAAACCTACAGACGGCGTGATTAAAATAAAATCAGATTTTGACGAATGAAATAAATCAAAAGTATTTAAATAAAAGGGAAAATATAAAAGAATGAAGTGCGTTTACTAAAGTAATAAGATTCCACCCAAAAAAAAAATTTGATTTTTATTTCCGTGATGAAGTTTGGTGAAAACTTATAGAAAAGCAAAGCATCTTAAATCTAAAGTCATGCACCCATGCAAGCATCTGCATGACCCACCAAGTCAGCCCAAACATGCTACAAGCGTAAAAACAGGCTTAGTGAAATGAAGAAAAACGTACAGGCAGCGTGTGACAAGCTCGCTGGTTCTAAAATCACCGCTTATGTCTATAATCTCACTGGTATTCGCATATATTCTCCTAGTTACTAATTGAGTCTTTGTTCTTTATGCAATTTCTCTATGTACAATGTTCAGGAACTCTCCACCGAGGCTATTTCCTGAACCAGAAGAATGATCTGGGAGCGGATGATTTTACACCTAGAAAAAAACACACAAACGCACATATCGAAACGTGAACATCCCAAACACCTTTGATCACAATGAAACATTGAAATGTCTCGAGGTGAGTGAGACTTGTGACGTCACACAGTGCATTGATAACACATCACATCAGTAACTTCTGTGATAACACAGTTAAAGCGCCTTTACAAATGTTAGACAAGTCGATTCCAACTTACGATTCATACTTATATTTTTTATCGGCGTCAAATTAACTTTACTCTTAACAATTTAAATTCACTGTGACTTAAAATGACCACACGAGTGTTTCGGAATCGATTACGGCCAACATTTCAACAAGGCATATCATATTACAAACATTGTGAAATTGTGCAAGTGAGATAAATATTCTATTTAATGTGGATCAACAAACAAATCATAGTGCTTTACTATTGACACAACACTTAAATTGTGCATTTTATAGACATTAAATAAATATTTGTGTGTTCTGGATTGCAAAATGTCGTGAGTGAAATCTGGAGCCTGTTTATTCGTTTTTTTCAGACGATCACGTCGTTTTTAAGCCCCAAACTTCAGACAAGATACTGCAGGTAGGTTCGCGGTGCCCAGAAGCCGCTCCGCCATCTTTGAATTAGGATCACCGTCTCCCACTGCTGCTCCACCAATAGCAATATCCAATCCATTCAGCAAGCATTAATTAACTTTGACATGTCAATTATTGTCAAATCAAACCAATACCAGTTAGTCAGAAGCCTGAACTTCGTAAAAATTGACGTCATGAGCATGCCACCGTCAGAAACAGCTTTGCCAACTGAATCGAATATATAAATTATTTTGCAATTAGTAATTTTAGTATGTTAGTAAAAATAAAAGGTCAGTTAGTAGGTTATTGCTTCAACTGTTAATGCACTCATATGTTGATTAGTATTAAAAATAATATAACAAAGTTACTGATGATAATGAATTAGAACGCAATATTAAAAGTAGGAATAGAAGTAACATACACAAAGTCAAGTAAACAGATAGGTATAGAATTGAAAAACAAGAAACTTAGAAATGGTAACTGAGTATAGGATGTAGCTTAAACTAAAAAGTCTAATGTTGAAAAGAATATTATGATAACTACTAGAAGAGGAAACACAAAAACTAATAGACAATCACAAACAAATAACAAATAGAGCGTACATTTAACAGTGGAGTCGGTGTTGTCCCTCTAGAATATTATCAAATGGAGATATTTTTATTTAGGGGACTAAAGGAATTTGTATAAAGTAATGCTTGTGCCTAATTTTTCAGCTATTTCGTTATATTTTTTGCGATTATGTAAATTAAAGCTGCTTTGATGAATATCACAAAATACTTTTTAATATTACAAGGTAAGAGTACTTAAATATATGCCAAACAACTTCTCTGTCAAAATCTAATCTAAATCAATATCTCAAATAATTACAAAGTAGCTAATTGTCTCCTTCAGCCTTTAATTCTCAAAAAGCCTACAAAAGCTGTTTCAAATTAACCAATATTCCTTTCTCCTATCCCTTGTTGATAAAAATAAATTACATTTACATCGTTTTTCTTACATCTAAACCAAGGATGCACAAAATTTTAACAATCTGAACCTTTATTCAGTTGTGTTTATTTTCTTTCCCACTTTCAGCTCATAATCTGCCCGAGTGGCCCCTTGCCCCATAATATCTGTGCATCCCTGATCTAAACTATCGCATCACTTTTCTAATCTTTTGCATTAGGCACAAGCAGTACATCCTCGTCATTTCCCGGCGTCCTGGGCCCTGAACCAACCTGCGTCGAAGAGGATGTCCCCGACATCATCCTCAGACGGTCCCTCGCCGCTGTGCGTCAGTTTCGCGTTACCTCCGACGGTGCCTCGGGGCGCGCTGCTGCAGCCTAACCACCAGAAGGCGGTCGACCGCGGGAACGCTGGGTTGTCTGAGTCCACCTGAAGGTTGAAAGAGTGTTTGTGATATTAAAAAGGTGTGGTCAAAAAACGCTCCACTAACGTTAGTCTAAGTGTGTTCAAAAGACGCTACCATAATGAAAGCCTAAGAAGATTTTTTTTTTCATAAGTTAGGGGTATTCCCATCTTCTCCCACAGGCTTCCTCCCGAATCATTATTGAGTTATTCGTCTTCAATTTTTTGTTTATAAAACACTAAGTAACAAACATTCCGTGTGAGATAAAATCTCATAGGATAAGTAAAAACATTAAGTATATCTACAATTTTGTTGTGAGCTCGAATTCAGCGAATTCATCGAGTTTTTCAGGTGAGTATGACACATAAGGGAACTTGGTTTCCCAAAAATAAGTAGATAACTAAGCGAACTTTTGGAAAATTACTTACACTGAAAGTTCTGTCGTTAAACCGCCAGTAAGATCCACCCTTGAAGAAGTAAGTGTATCCATTGGTATATTGCAATGCAGCATCAATGCCATCAGGGATTCCCTCCCAGTTGGACAGAGGTTTGGGGTAGGTGGCCTTGACCGGTGGCCTCTGGGCAGGGTCGAACCTCCAGAACTTCGAGCCCTTGTAGAAGTAGATCTTGCCGTTGCCCGACCACACTAATGCAGCGTCTAGGTTATCAGGGATTCCAGTGAAACCTGGAAAATACGGAGTAAAGTTTTAAAAAGCTGTCACTGTGAAAGTCTAGAATTTACATAATTTGAGTTGACTTTTTGTTGTTCAACTCTTGGAACGGGGTCAATTATTCTTGTCTAAAAAGGTACTTCTTTCAGGACAGCAAAAGAGGATTATACATAACTATATCTATCATTTTGTTTTTTTGTAAATACAAACTTACCTTCGCTAATTTCTTTAGGATAGTCTCCATCGATCTTCTGCCCATTATACCTCCAGTACTTAGAGCCCTTG